TGAGGATTGTGGGATTAGAGTAAGGAATGTTGATGCTTCTCATAGGCAAAGTACATAAAGTAATTTCTAGAGTCAAGGCGATGAAGAGTGCAAAGAAGAGTTTCCTGCAGTTGAGTGAGTTCTCGCGTTTTCAAACTTCTTTCACAGGTTAAGTTTCTGTTTTGCTTAAGGGCAAGCAAAGACTAAGTCTGGGGAAGTTGATATATCATGGTTTTTACGGGTTTTTGGCCATGATATAAGTCTTATTTATAAAGCTTTTATAGTGTTTTCGAGTCTTTTGCAGTCATTTGAGGATTAGGAGCTATTTGGCATGGATTGGAGCTTTTTGTAGTATTTGGGAGCATTTACAAAGAGATTTGGAATTTAGGGTTCTAGACATAGATAGTCTTTGCAACGAAAGTTGATTGATTATATTTTTGTGATTTGAGTTCAAGAACGGTGCTTTATAAATCCTGACAATTATTTATTTGCAATTCTGAATTTTCTGAGAATATCCCTAGGCATAGCGTTTCCTCATTATTGTTTAAAAACCAATCGTTAATTTAATTTGCTGTTTTATTTAATTTAAAAACCTGCTTGCTTAGCTTAATTTAATACCGAATATTTATTGTGTAATCTTTGAGTCTCTGTGGATTCGATCCCTAATTACTATAGTGATCTCTTAATTGAGAGAGTAGCTCAGGGCAAATTTGAGCCGATCAAAAACCAACCTGAATCTTTCTTGTAGGAGCAACAATGTTGCTAATCCTCAAGATCAAGTCTATCCTCCTCAGCAACAATAGTTTCATAACAGGCCATTTGTTGCCTTTTAATCAAAAACAGACTTTCGTGCCCAACAACAGCCCCAAGGTGCTTATCAACAACCTATGGCACCTCCTCCCGGATTCCAACATCAATCTACTCAAGCACCTTAAGAACAGGACATCCAGGGAATAATACTTCACTAAATTCTCCAAGGTCAGGCCAATAGCAACCTTGAGCATGCAAAGAAGATTACTGAGCTTCGTAATTATATCACAGCTTCTTGTAATGATTTAAACCAAAAGTTCGATGCTTTGAGCAACAAGGTTGCCCACTAAGAAGGAAAACAAACCTCCACTTCTTCACGACATCTACTAGGAAAGTCTATCATGAATCCTAAGGAATTTGCTACTGCTAATGCAATTACTTTGGGGGAGCCATATATGACTATCGTTGAGGGGGAGGATTCAGTTTAAACAGATATCTCAGACAACTCGGAAGAACCACCTGATCGAGCATGTATCAGAACCGATCGAGCTAGCTATAAACCTGATCGAGTCTACTACGGACCTGATCGAGTAAGCTGTGTGTTTGAACGGATGAGTGAGTTAACTTCTGATGAACCTTTTTGTCCAATCAGAGGCGCTAGTCCAGAACCTTCAACCCGAAGACCATTGCTTTACCCAGAGGAGTTCAAGGATGAAATCGAAGAAGAATACAACAAGATCCTCGACTCTATAACTGGGAATGACCAGTTGAAGGCCTTGGTTGATGCTTTTGATAATACCTCCACCTATAGGAAAATGCTTAAGGAAGTGTTGCTCGAGAGGATGCAGCAGAAGAAGTAATGGGGATCACCCCCCTTGTTCAATAAGATCGACAATTTTCAACGAATAGGTTATACGAAATTTACGCCTTGTAGCCTAACGGTTGTAATGGCATATAGGAGTTCGAGGCAGCCCGTAGGAGTGCTAGAAGATCTTCTAGTAGAAGTTGGGGGAGTCAAAATCCCTATTGATTTCTTGATCTTGGAAATTGAAAGAGAGCCGCAATATCAGTTAATCGTTGGAAGTCCTTTCCTAGCTTCAGCGGGTATGGTGATTTAGGAGGCCAAAGAAACCATGAGCCACGATCTTGGAAGAGTAACGAAGATGAAGATCAACATGGCAGATCTATATCGAACTACGATGATTGGAACAGAAGAAAATGTGTCCTCCTCCCTCCTACACGGAACTCCCAGTCATCAAGACCCTCAAGAAAGATCTGATGCGACTTGCAACCACCATTCAAAAGATGGGTAAGGAAGTTGTGGAGTTGAAAAGGAGGACTTTAAACAAGCTCGTTTGGGAGGAAGTCTAAATGGTATCCTTGTATATATTTATTTAAGATTATGTTGTTTTGGATTATTTGCGTTTTGTTTTAGGTGTTTTCGGGTTTGATTATGAGCAAGAAAATGTGTTAATGGGCTTAAAAGGAGAAAAGGAAGAGAAAAGAAGCCAAATGGGCCTTAGAGCCAAAACCAGAAGCCCATTCGGTCGAGTCAACGAAGCAACGGTCGAGTCAACGACACCCGATCGGGTTCAATGTGAGCCACCCGATCGTGTTCAATCTTAGCCGTTTGATCAGGTCAAAGGTAGTAACGGTCGTGTCAATGGTCAACCTGATTTGAAATTCAAAATTTGAACTACACCCGACCAAAAACGCTCTTCTCTTCAGCTTTTGTCCCCTTTCACTCTCTATTTAAACTCCAAACTCGACCAAACCTCCCTCACACTCTCATTTTGCAAAAATATCACTTCTCTCTCTAGATTTTTCTCTTCCTTCACTCTAGTTCATTGCTCTTCATATTTTCTGGGTTGCTAACCTACCAAAGTTGAGCTTTGATTTCTTGATTCCCTGAAAATTAAGATGTCTTCAAGAGGATTTCAACCAAGGAGGAGAAGCCTTTCCAGAGCACAAAGATCCATCACAACCAAACCGCTGAAGACATTGCAAGAAATTTCATGACTGTCCAAGCTGCTGGAGCTGGACTCGATCATGCCAGAAAAGAGAAGAAAGATGCTCGAGCTCGAGCTCGGACCCGATCACCTGATTCGGCCAGGACATTCCCATTTCGAGAGAAGAAGTTACTGGGGGGTTCGACTTTTATGTAACAACCCGTCCAGTGGGACTCTGCCACATGGCACACCTTGAAAGACCCTAACCCGAATTTTCAAAATTTTATTCAAGTTCAAAGTTCTTTCGATAAACTTAACATAAATACGCATAAGATCGATAGACAAGTCAATAATGCAAAACAGATAACCTGAACTTCCAAATGAGGTTCTAGTACAAACGGCAAGTTCGCTAATAAGCTATTACATCGTTTTCACATATTAGACCTATTTATTAAACTGCCCAATCCACCATCCTTCCCTTTCCTTGCTTTCGTCTCACGAGCTGGTTCAGCCACTTAGATTACTTCCATTTCCTGCATCCAAAAGGAGGCGTTAGCAAACGAATTTGCTTAGTGGAGCGGTCGTCCCGTCACACTTGGCACAGTCAAGAAATCACATTCATTTTTATCGATTCAAGAAGTTAAACAAGCGAGTCATAAACATAACATACCATCGAAACAATTATCAGAACCACCATCGATTAACTATCAAGACATTATCGCGATAACATATATAAACCATGACAAGCAAGAAAACATAATTGAATCAATCAATAAACACGACTCAAGACTCGGCCGTGGTTACGCTCTCACCTTTTTCACACGGATTCACTTTCTGACACCTCTTGTCGTTTAACTTACTCGATCAGATCCAATAAACACTCACAAAATACTCGGATCTACACAAAGAACACATATCTAACTCTTTTACCGACAATACTTGAAGAACAATCGATAAACACAAAGTTTACTCGATACTTACCAAGATTCTCGACAAACTCCTAACTTTCTCGATGAAAAGCTTAACGATCGCCTTCTGGGTTGTTACGCGTGAAAACGCTAACAAATGGTCGGTAGTTCTTTATATAGACTCGAGAAAATTCCCGATCCGCCAAGAATATTCGATGGAATATCCATTATTCCGATCTTTTTCGAGATTTTATCCGTTTCTCCGAACAATCATCGAGAAAATCCAATCCCATGTATCTCGGCTCACCAACACACGCGGGTTACCGAATTGGGACGACAATTATCGAGCGGATCTTCGCATCACCGACAGCCACTCGATATATTCGCGACAGACGGTCCGATAAACACGCAATAG